ATCTACTTGAAAAAGTATACTATCTACAGTTGGAGCCAGGAGGACACCAATGACCTGATAGATAAAGCATTTGTCAGTCATGGAGTAACAAGAAGAGTCCCTAGAAAGTGCAGCAATTTATTGGATCTTCATGAGAATTTGAGAGCTGATACATTTTGATTAACTTTTCGATAAGGGAGATTTTTGTCTTGTTTCATTTCATTCAAGGTATTCATGAATGCAACCTTTAATTGAACATATGTTACTAAAACGCTGATAATGGATATCAATATTTTAATCTTTCAAGCAAAGATCAGTAGGCCTAAGACATATTTTGTAGCAATGCATTGCCCTGGTCTTGAGTACTGGTAGTGCAAAACAATCCAGGGTGCATGATGGCATGATATAAGTTCTTTTCACATCAGTTTTCATTTTTCTCTTAAAGGGCAAAAAATTAAGTAGATTATTTGAAGTTCTGTTGGTTTGATGCGTTTGTAAAATAAAAATCAAGTGTTTCTGTCTTTTTCTGTAGTTGAAAAAAATATCTAAAAAAAATAATGAGTCAAAACTTTGCATGCTTCTTATTCACTTAAGGAAACAAGAGCACTATTATGGGAATGTCAGTTAAAATGACTTCTACCTATAGATAACCTATAGAGATTATGGTTATAAGTATTTTTTGTATGTAGTTTCGATCATTCTTTCAAGTAATTCACTTATTTATACATACATATCCCATGAAAATGGTGATTATGTGTTGTAGACTGAATAGTTGATTGATTGATTGATGCCCATTCGTGTTCACTATTATTTGTTGAAGAAGTAATCTAGTTTTGATAATAAGTAGACTACTCCATTTTTAGCCAAAACAAAGAGTTATTATCTCTTGAATTGCTATTATTTACAAGGAATGTTCTAATTACGAGCATTTATGACTAAAAGTGCAGTCAGAACAGCAGATTAACAGACCTGTGGATTAAATATGGCTGACCCACTTGAATGCTTGTTGCATTATCCTTGCAGGGGATCTATTAGGTATCTGATCAGGAATAAAACGGCAAGCTTTAAAGTCGGTCACCATATTTGACCTGCGGATCTGTTCATCCGCTGTTCTGAACACACTCTAAAAGTACACAGTATCTGTAAAAGTTAATAATTTTTGCCATTGAAAACTGTGTTAGACCTTTTGGTTGAGGCACATTTTGTAAGGAGTGACTTTCCACAAGGAGTGCTTGATCACAGCAAAAATCTGCTTTTTTTCAGTGATATCACAGGCATAATCAGTAATGAGACAAATATTACACAAATTATAGACTACATTTACCAGAATGCGTCACCTGTTGGAAGTTCTTTTCATCCATTCAAATATGTTAAAATTACCGAGATGGAGTCTTTGACTGCCAGTGTTCTATAGTTTTTCTCAGTCCTATTATCCTAAGTGTTTCGCTACCACTGGGAGGTGGAGGGTTCAAATTGACACTATACATTGTACATTAGGTAAAAATGATAAATTTAAAGCACCGAGAAAGACTACAGATGAATGAATAAAGCACTCGAAACTTGCTACTCAAAGATAATTCTATTGATAACATCTTGAATTGCCAATTATTTTTGACGGAGAAAATAAATCTTTCTACCAAACAAAAATAAACTGTTCGGTTCAACTGGGCATCCTTGTGAAAGTTTCTCGTCACAAATTGTGCTCACCATAAGTCAGTGATATGTTGACACTCCACGGGTTGGAAAATATTACAATAATGACTCTACCTTTTCATTGGGGAAAATTGTTTTTTCTTAAGATTGATAATTTAATAATTTGACCCATTAAAATACATTTCTTTGTAACATTTGTGGTGCTTTGTTTGTTTTGAATATTCCTAAAAGGTACACGTAGTATGCTTTTCAGTTTAGCTGAAACTATTCAATACAAATCTTCTTATTTCAAGACTTTGACTTTGAAAAAAATATAGTATCTGTAAAACTGTAAACTTTTCCCCACTGGAAAGAATGAGCCACTGCTCTACCTTGAAAAATATAACCCAGCAGGGTATAAATAATTCTTCCTTACAAATAATTCAATAATGACACATCCTTGGCAAAAACTTACCCTCTACCAGGGCTACAGATAGACTTTTCACTAAATATTCACATACATGTCTCTGGTTGATTCGAAACAAAATATTACAAAATGTTTCAGATTGTTAGCTAAAGACAACTGGCAGAGCAATTAACTGCACTGATTGCTGTCACAGGGACTTGGCAGTTACTACTAAAGTGGAAGTGCCCGAGACATAGTTATATAAAGAATTACCAGCCATGTAATCATATTTGAGCTTTCATCACAGAGTCACAGTGCAGAGAAGTGCCATCAATTAACTAGTGACATGTCTTTGAGTATCTAGTGAAAAATCACACAGTAGCCCTGGTAGAGGGTGGCAAAACCTAACCTTATGGCTCACTTTGGGATCAGTTTAGTAGTTCTGGAAAACATCCACTGCTTAAAAGAAGTGCATGTTACATGCATGAATCAAGTTGAGTTCACACTTTAAGACTGACACTGCATTATGTCTAAAAGGTCTATATTCATTTGTTTGTAATTTGTATTTAAAGCAGCTTAATTAACATATTAGTTAGTGCCAAAAGACACGACCAAATGCCATGCATGTTTCCAAAATGTATAACATAAAATAATTTAATATAGATTTCTTTACATAATTTTCAAAAAAAAAAAAGAGGAGATTTGCACATTTTCTAATTCTTCTTACTTTCTGGGCTTTATGGATTGGAGGAATAAGTAGGTCAAATTTTTACACAACCAGAATTTGGAGGAGGATCAATGTGCTTTAAACCAGAGGCATTTTCATATTAAACCCCATCAAAATACACTCCAGTATATGAAATAAATAAATAAATAAA